TAGGCGTTTTACTCGTGCGCGCAAGACATTTACGACTGCGCATATGCGTCTGCGCAAGTGCAGACTACGTTTTCGCGTGCGCGTTTAATATATAACGGACGGTATAAGCTAAAAATTATCTAATTGTCTATTTCAGTTAATGTTGATTCTTAATCTTCGAATTGGATCCGGCTTATTATTTTTTGCAGACTGTAAGAGCAATTTTCTAAAAGTAAGCTTGAACTTTCGATTATGTCAAATAGAATTTCCGATGCTGGAGCTCCCAAAGGATCTAGAAAACGAAAGTATGTTTCGATGTCCATCAAACAAAAAAACGAATTGCTACCAAAAATGGATAAAGGCATATTCTTTGTTTATCTAACCGTTCCGAAATCTATTTATCAATTTCACGCTGCTCTGCGCGGGGGGGGGACGTCGCGGCGCGCAATGGACTGGAAGTTGATTTGTCAACACTATCGTTATCTTCAGGGCAGATGTTTTTATTTTATTCGGCTTATAATTCCTTACTAAATGTAGTATTTAATTTCGATGTACTCCGTCTTTGATATGATTTAAATCAAATTCCTCCTCATTATAAATATCACGAACACAAATCAAATAGTTTTCTGGTTGCAATTTCTAATTTCGGCTATGCGTAATGTATGCTTTACGCATCCGCGCGTTGAAAGAAATGTTTAATAAAGTAAACAAATAAATATTAGGCTTCTTTTTTGGTAAATTTTGATACCCTTTAGATCATAATTGCTCATTATTTTATAAATTACGGTTTCATATTTTTAATTTTATAATTTCTGCATGCCATCTTACCAGATTTAAACTGATGATCTATAATCCGGAATCGCCGAAGTCCCGACGAGTCCGGATTAAAGACTTTTGACTGTATTACTAAATTACCCAATCTCAACCAAACTGTGAAACACTATATTGAGTATTATATAAATACTAAAAGTCCTCCAGTTACTGCTAAACACAGACGGTTAATTCCTGACTGCATCAAAATTATTAAAGCTGAATTTCAGTGGATGATTCAATTCAGTCATATGAGACCTTCAAAAAGCTTCAATTCTTTGCCTTTGCACATGGTGCTCAAGAAAGGTTATCAGGTTATTTAGGTTATCAGGTGAAAGAATTGAACCCCTTCCTTATCGTGTAAAATGCATCCGAGATTTTCTTCAACCACAGACCCTCGCACAATTACACTGATTCTTGGGTTTATTTAATTTTTACAGACACTGTGTTCCTTAAGCTGCTCGCATTCTACCAATTTTGGTCAAATTCCTAGAAGGCCTAATAAAAAAAAAACATCCTCATTCTAAAGCTTCTACCAAGTGACTACAATAGTACGATGAAAGAACACTCTCCTTCAAAGCAGCTAAGGAAGCTATTGCTAAAGCAACCTTGTTATGGCATCCCATACCGGGTGCACAATTAAGTCTATGGGTCGATGCATCTGATGTAGCAATTGGCAGCTCTGTTGTGCAACCTGCTAAAAAACGGTGGGAACCAATAACATTCTATTCAGCTAAACTAAGTAAATCTAAAAAGAATGGCCTCACTTATGACTGTAAACTCTATGCTATGTATTCTTCAATAAAAAAAAAAATTTAGGCATATGCTTAAAAGGAGGAATTTTGTCAACTACACCGACCAAAGACCCCTTAAATATGCATTCCAGCAACAACCTGACAAATGCAATCCTTGCCAATTATACCATTTGGATTGAATCTTTCAGTTTACCACCGATATTAAATATACTAAAGGCTCTGATAACAATGCTGCAGATGCATTATACTGAATTGGGATAGATGACATTTCATTTTCTGTGCTCAGTTTTCATAAATTCGCTGCTGCTTCCTCAAACCATGAAAAACTTGAACAACTTGTAGCATCCAATACCTTCTCTTTAAAATTAGAGAAACATTATTTCCCTCTTCAGGATATTCATCTGGATTGGGACAAACATCCCCACTCTTTTGTTCCCCAGTGCATGAGACTAGCAGTTTTCCAAACATTACATTTTTTCTCTCATCCTGGTATCTACGCCCCTTCAATTTGATTACTAAATGTTTTGCTTGAGCCAGCATGCAAAAAGAAAATATTTTGAGCACAGCTGTGATAAATGTCAATGAGCTAAAATCACTAAACATACCAAATCTCCTATTGGCACATTTGTTGAACCTGATGTTTGTTTTGCAAACATCATACAGATTTTATAGTGCCTTCTCCTGCCATCTGATGAGAAAACAGTTTTGCATGACTGATCATACACCAGTCCACGAGATGGTAAAAATTTTGAATCTAATTTTTTTAGAGAACTTACCTGCATGCTTGGGTGCAACAGGATTTGTACCTTTGCACAAACCAGCCCTTAAAGCACTCTTAAGAATCGGTGATAGTTAATTATGAAGATTAAATTAGATGCAAAGATTCAAACTTAAGAACATTTATTTCACCTGCACTTCCAAACCAACACGTGCGTATCCCTCGAATGTTCGACAACTGACTGTCCTTGCTTTATGAAAATCTTAGAAGAGAAATTTGTACTCTATAATCATGTGCTGCCATCCCTCGGCTGTTCTGGGGTTAAATTGGTAGGATGCTTTTCCAAATAGAATAAACCACAACATCACAATACAGCAAAATGGACAGAAACTATCCCTCTTGTTTTCTTAAGCTGCTATCACATATCCATTTGTTTTGGAAGAACAGCTGTTTGGAACACTTTTTCTGTTTTGTCACAACAGGCAATCACTACAGATCACTTTGGGGTTAACATCTAAAGGGAAAACTCATGGTTCTCCATTACATACAAGCTGAGAGTATTCGAAGCTAATAGCTGATTGGTTGAAAATTAACAACTTGCAATTTTTTTCGAAAGGAAGGAAAAAAATCACGCTTCTTTCTTTCAATAGTAAACCAAGCAGAAAAATTGTCCAAAACAGTTGTTCGTATGAAACAAATGCATGTGTGATATCGGCATTAAACATATGCTCAGCCATCAAAGCAACTTCTGCTCAACTTGTTTATGGCACCACATTAAGATCACCTTCCGATCTAGTAGGCAGTGATGCCATACATCAGATCTTAAACTCCATATATGTTAACAGTTCATTTCAAACGATGAGGTTTTTAAATCCTATTTCTACTGCCCTACATGAAATCTTAAAATTTTCATAAATCTCTCATTAAAAACTTGTTATACATTTTTAAGGTCTGACAAAGTTCTCCACTGACATCACCTTATACTCAATCTCATTTAGTCATTGACAAAAATGATAAGAAATTTATTATCAAACAGAAAACATATTACAGCTTCAATTGATTGCATAAAACCTTCTTACCTCTTGCCATATGAGATTACTCATTTCCCATCCTTACCTCTTCTGGTTTCACCTCCCTGCCCAAGATGCTTTAGTAAAATATCTGCCACTAAGAGTGGGCTTAAGATCCGATTTCTCAAGTATTTAGTCACAGACTACATTCCTTGAGTACTCACTTTTACTATATTTAACACTTTGTATTGCACACATGTTCCCACTGCATCTATGCCCATTGTATATATATCTTTGCTGCATTATACTTCCTTTTCAGTATTTCAATAATTTTGGAAGATATCCCCATTTTTTGTATATACTGCAACTATTTATTATCATTTATAATTGTGACTTATACCCGGGCGCATTTCATTCATGCGCCACATCAGTTAACCAGTAAGAGGTGCACATCATGTGTATGTTGTCACAACTTCTCTCTACCCTCACAGTCTCTTTCTGGTGGGTCTACAGAGAGAAAAATGTCTGCTAGTGTGCTCTCAGCATGAATTTCATTTCTGTATGTGAAATAAAATATATTTTTATACTAAATTCTGTTCAATATTGCTTCATTAAAATACAGGTGTCGGATCAAACAACTCAGTTCTTTAGTCTTATTTTTCAGACTTAGCACAAGTTTACGATGAAAAGCAAGAATAACTAAATTCATTTTACAGAAGCAGTGTTTCATAATTAAATATAACAAAATTCAAACAAGGAATTCAAATTCAATTAGTTCATTTGAAATTGTTCTTTGATGTATTAATTTACTATTACATAATTGTGGATAATAGGGATTACATTTTTACATTTTATATTAAGAAAAAAAAATTCATAATAAGCTTTCTTATAAATAAAATCATGTTGGGCTTCTTATTAATGATTAACTACAAAACTCTGAGTACCAATTCTGACAAGCATTGTAAACAGTTTATAAAAAGAGAAGGATTTATATTTTTACAGTGATAAATTAATTTGCTGCGTATCTTAAACAACATTTGTAACAATAAAAAAAAGAAAAAAGAATACTAATTATTAGAGCAGCTATCTAATGCTACATTCCACGCACTAAAGAAAGAACCTCCAAATATAAAAAGTGCTAAAAGACTGAGTAGGACAGACTAATAACCCACTTCACATGTTTTGTTAATGCAATTGCAATAAATCATTTGATTAAAGTAAAAAAAAAAATAAGTATTGAGAAACTGAGTATGCAAATCTAAAATTAATTAGTATATGAAATCTCTTCTCTTAAAAAAAAATCAGAATTATATTCAAGAAAAGATGTACTTAAAATCTTATGAGCTTCACATACTCCTTAAATGGATATACCTAAAGACATTTTTTTCCATGCTAGGTCAAATACATTGCACATTCAATAATGTTCATTTAAATTTATTAAATGGTGAGTTACAATACCTAAAAGCTGTGACATATTGCTGGTAAAAATATACGGAATCTGAGATAAACAAATCCTCCCTTAAAACTTTTTACTGTTAATGATTGAAGGATATTGTTAATTTTACAAGTTCCCCTTATTAAATCAATATACAGTGTTCTAATGAAACATTTCAAAAATCAAATTGGCATAAAGTTATAGAAGCATACAGAATGCTTCAGCATTTCCAGATGATAAATATAACTGATTTAATCATACAAAAAACCTATAAAACAACATTTAAAAGCAAAGTGATAATATAAATACACAGCCTACCTAAGGCAAAAATAATGCAATATACAATGCAGTTTCACTTTCCAAGATTGACAATAAGCTTACATAAAGGCAGTAATCTCAAATTCAAACTGCATGTGGGCCAAATGCATGATCTTGAAAGCAGCTGATGGGCTGGAACTTTTTTCTTTTTTCAACAAAATAAAAAAAATTTTATTAATAAACCAAATAAAAAATACTTTAACTAAATTTTAAATTTCATTTATTAAATATTTGCCAAACCATACATAAATAATAATAATGCAAAGGAAGAAAACCCCAAATTTGTGTTTATTTCTATCTGAAATCTAATGTTTGGTATTTGCAAGAAAGTTTTGTTGGTTACACTTCGTAATTCAAATGTATTAACCACAAAATATCAAATTTTCCCACTGACATTTATTTAAAATAATTCTAACATGTTGTACTCATCATTAAATAATTTCTTTAACTAAAACTGAACATAAAGTATAAAAACATTATAAGCTGGACAAAATTTGAGAATAAATAATGACAAGCTTGTCTCTTTTATTTACTAATTTTTTCCTCAATGCATACAGAAAAAATATGCACATTTACATGTAAACACTCTAATTATAAATTTCTTTGTATCTTATTACAGCTTGACACTTAATAGTATTTTAATTCTGGTAAAGTTGATGCCCGGGAGAAAAATTATTTTCATCACAGACTGTAGATGTTCATCAGTCAATCTGTTTCGTAATAAATATTTTATTTACTTTCACCAGTGAAAAAATAACTATTCACAAATAACTGTATTTTTAAACAAAGCAATTAATCATTTATTTTAAAATAATTGAGGATTTTTATCTTTTGACAAGTACAAATAAAAATTAATCAAGTCTGTATTTTGAAATCTCTGAATCAGATTTATATCACACTGTAAATTAATTAGCTCTACTTGTAGAATTTTTTGCTGTGTTATTAACATTTGTTTTTAATCGTAATGAAAATAATATAAAATCAGACTCTAAATCATTAAATTCTTTTTTTCCAAATTCTCATTACATTAATGCTATTTTTCCTTCACATTCTTGAGAGTTTTTATTTAAAACAAAAGGGTAGGATTTAATACGTAAGAAATGTACAAAAGGTTTTGATATCAATTATGTTTTTCATAGTTGCTGTTTAACTTTAAAAGCATACACGTAAGTGATATGTTTATTCTTACCTTGTAGCTCTTTACTGAGAATATTTAAATGGCCAGTCAAGACAACAAGAAATGCTAACTCTGTTATCCATGCATCATTATTATAGGCATCAATAGTTTCACCTTTTTATTATTCCTTTGTTGTTGCTGGCATCAACAGTGTTCTCATTTATCTTAAAACATATGTCCTTTTTCACATACGTCCACTTTTCTTTTATCTTCTGTTAAAGACATGGCTTGCAGCTTAATCTCTCAGTTAAAATCACTATTACAATTTTATTTACAGCATTAATGCAACAAGACAAATTTCCGTATGTTAGCAACTCTTAAAAGTTATGCATACTACATTCTGATTTTTCTTCCTCTGTATAGCAATTCTGAACTATGCAGCTGTGCATCTGGCTAATCAACTAGTGACTGACTGAAGTGAGAAATACTAAAACAATGAAACACTGCCAACTGTCAAGTGTAAACTAAATTTACTTCAATATACATTCTATCAATATGGGAAGATCTATCTTACCGAAGTCATGACGCCTGGCATTCAAGCATATAGTGACAAACATAACCTATTCATTCTATCTTGTTTTCCTATAATAGTAGTCACCTATAAAAGTTCAATCCATATCTCTATGTCTTTATATCATAACCACCATACTTAAAATAATATTTGCAGGCCATGTAAAACTCCTTCAGGGGCTAGATGTGACATGTGGGCTTTTAGTTTGAGACCACTGCATTGATAAGGGATATGATAAGATTTAGTAGTCAGGGTGTAATGATGGAAGATGCAAAATATTTTTGTGTAAGTATTGAAGTGGCTTATCTATTTTAATTTAATAATCATTTGAATCCATCATGGCAGGCAACATGTAATGCGTAACTGTGCCAGGAATGTGTAACCTTCAAGCATGCTTCATTGCCAAAGTCAGAATTTCTCATTTTCCATGACTGATTTGGCTTGGTTTGTTTGATTATGTCGAAGCACTCAAGGGCTAACAGCCTAAGGAGAAGGATAACTTCTTGGAAGACTTTTTAAGGGAAACTTGCTTGTATCCATGACACACATGGGTAAAATTACAAAAACACCCATGCAGCCAACACATTCACCTGATATTGAACCCTGATTGAAATAACAGCATTGCACGCCTTTACATACACCACTTGGCTATTGGTATTAAAAAAAAATAGACTCACTTTTATCTTCCGTGATTGAAAGGCCTAAAATACATAAGTATGCATAACTGCCAGGGGGGCAAGGAGGGACATCTGTTCCCGGGTGCAGCATCCAATGGGTGCCAAATTGATATTACGAAATTTCAGAATTAAATGTTTTACATCCTTGGCAAGCAGTAGAGGCGCGAAATCTTCAGTTGTCCCTAGGCACTGAAAACCCTAGCTACGACTCTGATAACTGCTTAATTACCTATTTTTCAGTCATATATTTCGTTATAAACTTGTAAAACACTTTGTAAATTTGTGTTAAATATTTATGCCATTTAAAAATTATGTATTTTCCTGTAGTTACTGCCCTCTATTCTTTGTTTCCTTTAAAAGTGAAAATTCTCTGTAGATTTATTTTGGTTAGTGAAAAGTGATCTTTTATAAAAGTAAATTGGCATGCTCTGAACAAGATTTAAGATACCTGTTTACAGAAGTTAGATAAAGAGCTCATACAGAATAATGATATGTAACAGAAACAACAAAATTAATATTTCAAATTTATTTCAAATTTTTTAATGTTTCCAGAAAATAACAAATTTCAAGAAAGTTTTCTAAACATACTGCATGCTCAGATCATCTGTTTATTAAAAATATGAAAAATTCACGAGTTCATATGAGCATTACTTTATGAAAACCAGTGTCAAATCACTGAATTCTTAGTATGTAAATCTAACTTTCAGACAGGAGTTAAAAAACATAAAAGAAAAGTAAAATTACCTAACAGTAAAAGTGCATGTTTAAATCATGAAATTGTATGCATGCCTGCTGTATTTGTTAAACCAAACATGAAAACTGATCGTGTGTTTCACAAAAATATATAATATCTGTCTATATATTGAGCACCAAATAAATGTTTAACTAAAATCATACCTCTCTTTTCAAATGATCGATTTAAAAAGTTTTCTGAAAATTATTACCTTTCATCAAAGATCAGAATGTTATTTCATGGCACTGTCCAGGTGAGACTGCATTAAGAATGATTGCATTGCATTTTGCTATGTGAAGTGCATTCATTCATTTGGAGCATATATTGAAAGACTGCACTTTCTTTTCAAATCCCCTGTAATAGACTTCTCTATCCTGCAATTTAATAAATATTAAGACTATGAAAGTAAGATGGTAACTATTCTACATACAGTTGAAAAATAAACATCATGTACAGTGGAACGTCGGATCACAAAATCCTCTCACATCATGGAATAATGCAGTTCATGAACAAATTATCTTAATAAAAAGTGCCTCCTATAACGAAGTTGACAACAAATTACTTTCAAAGGTGTTCTGAGATAACCTACACTACAGAATTTACACTTGGAGATTTCCTGAAACATTTTCATATTTTTCATTTAATTCCCCTTTACAAAGCCTGGCAGCCAGTGACTTAAAAGATCTTGAATTCGGCCTGGAGGAAATTACAGCCAGATTGCATTGCAGACAGAGGCTTTGGGGGTTTTGAAGCTTTAAGACATTTTTTGTTAGTTACAGTATCATCTCTCTTGGAAGTTAACAATGAAGATACAGAGAAATTACTAGAGGGACAATAAAAATAAGCCAAATGAGAAAGAACAACAACTTAAGAACCAGCAGTAATAAATGATTGGGAAAGATATTTGTTTAGAGAAGGAGGATGGAAGATAAGATGAACCTAGTTCTACAGTCTGTGAAATTAGTGCAAAATATAGTAAGATGCAAAGTTTCATGTAATGATTTCACCTAAGTAAAAACAGTAACTAGATTCAGCAAAGCATTTTCAGTAACAATAATATCTGACTTTAGAAATATTTTAATACATAATACATAGACAGCATATCAAACGTGACAATTTTTTAGTGAAATGGAGGCTCAGTGAGTCTCAAGTGGACAAGTGGCACTAACAGACAAAGAAAAGATGAAAGACGACAGATGCCCCAGGAAGAAAGTTATCTGATTTCTTTATGGAAATAACTCTTCCTCTTCACTTCACTCCTCTTCAAACAGGTAGAGTAACATTAAGTTAAATTCTCATCTATTTTACCCATTTAAAATTGTGTTTGTTTTAATAATTTCCATTGGTTTTGTCTCATGAACTTTTATACAAAGTACTATTATAAAGTTTTAATAATCATCTGCCATCCAAAATCAAATTAATCCATTTTACAAAACTCCCATGAGGAAAATATTTTCGAGATATGAACTTTTCGAATGATGAATGGCTTTCAAGAATGAATTCAATTTGTGAACCGAGGTTTCACTGTATATAAAAATATTTTTAGAGGAAAATTAGCTCAATCTGACCCTTACTCCAATTTTGCCTATTGTGTTATTTTTTTATTTTTATTTTTATTTATTTTTTTTTATCATCACTGTTACTTGATCCAATGCTCTTTGTACACAATAAATTTTCTTAACGAACATAAAATAAGAATAAAAAAGTAGACACTTTTTTTTCTTTAACTTTCCTATTTAAATATGCTTTCTAACAAATTTTAACTACAAATCCTTAATACAAAGTGATACACATTACACCATACAGGTAACAGTAAATAAAAGATGTGTAGAGTATGTTCTAATTTATCAGGCTACTGAAAATATATCAATAAGATTCCTAGAATTTGATGATGTAAAACAGCTAATTGTATTCATCTGATTGATATATTTCCTTTGATATACTTCAACACTCATGTAAATCTACATGTAATTTTTACAAAACATTCATAAAACTAACTTTTAATTCAAAGAACATGAAAACATTTGAGCACAATGAATAAGATTACATTTTTCAGCTCATTAAAGTTTAGCATAGCATAAAATGGGCATATATAATAAAGAACCAGTTTCAGATTAACTTTTAACTTTCTTAAACAGTAGAACCCCATTAAGATGTTTCTGAGGGTCAGAGAATTGAAAAATTACTAAGCATAATGATATATTGTGAGGAAAAGCTCACTAAAAGTGATAAGATACTTAGTGAACAAGTGAGAAACCACCAAGAGCATCAAAGGGGAGTATTTAAAAATTTTTGCAATTATGTGAAATAATACTAAAATAAACGAAAAGAAGACTTTTTAATATAGTGCTTAGTAAATTACAGTTACACTAACACACATATATTGACTGCGTTTATCAACTAATCAAATGATATAACCAGCACAACAGGCTGTATTAGCTGTAGCAACACCTCATGAAATCTCAAACATTCCTCCTCTGTTTGCATGAGCAGAGACTGCTCACATCCCTGCACATATGACTACTCTGGACAGCAAGAGATCAGTAAACCAAAAAATTTGTTAAAACCTTCAAAGGAAATAAAATTTTTAATTTAAATCCTTGCATACACAGATTTAAAACCCACTAAAGTCTGTATAGTACAATGTGTAAGTATTAAAGAATTAAATAAATCAAGCATATGTATTTTACTAGAAGTTAAATTTCATAAAAGTCCATTAACTTGGTATTATGGAACTAAGATTTCTTACTTAGGAAAATTTAAGAAAGCAGGAAGTTCATTTTGAGATGAATCACTGCACGACTTTTGAGTTTTATTTTGGAATTTTAAAAATTCAATTGAGAGGAGAAAACTTCTTAAGCAGAAACTCCTCCCTGGATCTTATTCCATAATACAGTGTGAAGTCTGAGATCCAGACTCGTCGGGACTTCGGCGATTCTAGATTTGGGATTTTTCCGGATATTAGATCATCAGTTTAAATCTAGTAAAATGGCATGTAGAAACTAAAAAGTTAAAAATATGAAATCGGGGTTTATGAAATAATGAAGCATTTATGATCTCAAGGGTGTCAAAATTTACAAAAAAGCCTCAATATTTATTTGTTTACTTTATTGAACGTTTCATTGTAAGTTCTTTAAGTTGCTTCGATTTTTGTGCCAATACTTTCTCTTTAATTCTACAGACAGATATTATTTCTTGTTAAGTTATAAAGTTCCATTTTGTTCAAAAGTCCTTTCCAGAATTTCAATTACTTACCAAACAAAATTTTTTCGTTTTCAATAACCGCTCTGTCACTTTCTTCACTATCGGTAACAGTATTTTCTGGATCTAGAACCATACTATAGATTTCACCATCTGTTAATTGATTGATGATTAAGGCATTGTTATCTCAATGAAAAACTTCTGTTATATCATCTTCATTTACTATGAACAGGGTTTGTACACATTTCTGCACATGGAAATAAATACTTTTAAGGACCACTGGCGGAAAAAATTAAGGACCTATGAGCAAATGGGAATTGAATAAATTCAATTAAAATTATTTTCTATGCTTGAACTTCACTTTTGTAATACCATACTAAAAATAATATAGATCCATAAGTAGAATGCATTATTATTAAACATAAATTAACATAATTATTAATAAGTTTGAGAATAAAATCAAATTAAGAAGTAGCATTAAATATTTTACACTCATAATAGTTGGACATATTTGAAAGAAAATAAGTGACATTTTATCTACGTTTTACTAACAGTTAGCTTTATGTTGATTTTTTTTTATGTCTCACGTTGTCACATACAGAGCTTAATTTCTAAGATTAAAAGTGCCGGAGCCCCATAGAAAACAGTCAGCAAAGAGGAACAAGAGTAAATAATAATAAAATGACTATTAAACTTAATAATTTTAAATTAAAAGTTATTATCAATTCTTAACAGCTATTTAAATTTTTAAATGTTTAATAAATTGTTATCAATAATTTATTAATTATAATTTTAATAATAATATGATTTTTGAATAATTAAAGATTAAGTACATAAAGATGACGTCCTAATCTTAAATTATAAAATGTAAAGAGATAATGAAATTTATAAGAGATTTTATATAATTTTTTTGTTACAATAAATTTCGAGATAAATGTTCTACTGAAATTGTTATCAGTACATAAAAGAAGTGCCGCACCTTTATTCAGGCTCCGTGCATTCAGCTAGATATGATTTATACAAAGACTAGAAGCACAGGAGCCATGATCCTGGGCTCCGGCACAATTAAGCTTAATCGTAGGGGGGGGAAGTTCTTTATCCTCACAAAATTAAATATACTTACAGCTGAAAAATTCAGGGCGAAACGAATGAGGGTATGAGTAGGTGGAAACAAAAAATGAGAGAAATCTTGGTGAGAGAGAACGTTTCCTTTGACCGCGGCTCTCTGCTGATATAATTATAGCCATCAAGCAGATGTGTGGCAGAGGTAAATTGAGTTCTGAATCTGATTTCTAAGGATGAATATAAAGTTTCTGGTTACAATTTTCGCTCCCCCCATATTTGTTTACATTAGTGGATACTGGGGGAAGATGATGTATAGGATGTGCTTGAGCAGTTTATCTCGGTATTTCAATCTTATTGTAATCACTATCACTTAAGACACATTTCAGAACACAAATTTTCCTTCCTGCGAGGATTCCTGTGTTCCTAAACAAACTACCCCAAATTTATTGCCCTTCTTAAAGGGAAAGGTTTCCGCATGTGAGTGAGTGGATTTACTTAACTCTCGGTTCTCATGAGATCGGTATCTAGGAAACAGAGTATTGCAAATCGCTTATTGTTAAACTAAAACGTTAGGAATTCAATTTTCCTTTAAATGTGGTTCAATTTTATAAAAAGAAGTACCGAGCTCATCTTATTTAGGGCGCCGGTGCGCTTCCGGCAGAATTGTCAGTATTTAAATTGAGAAGTACCGGAGCCGGGCTCCGGCGCAATTTAAGCACTGATTACACAAACGAATGCATTTTCAGACTATATACTTAATACTGTTTACAAGTGCATGCTAAAAGTTCTGTTTATGTTACCCTCTCACCCTTCAGCACATTGCTCAAGAATTACCATTCAGGTGAAACTAATCGATTTTTCCATGACGTCAAAAATTCGAAAAGTGCGGTATTGTTTGGAAATACGCCACTGGGACTCGAAGCTGGACCTCTCAAATATGGGACGAGTGTGCTATCGTAGCAACACCATACCTTATAACGGTGATTAGATTTTGTGCCTTTTGCCAGAGAAAAAGGTTATGGGTGATCTTAAAAAGATAAAAAAAATTATGTCGGGAGTTTTACTTTGAAACAGCAATAAATATCTAGATATGTGAATGCTGGTTCCTGTAATAGTGTTTTGAGTGAAGGATATAGAAAGTAATAATAATTGAGTCACTTCAACTTTCAAAGTGTTCTACGATTAGTTTTGGTCTAATGCCATTGCATTAAACATTAATCTTTCATTTATCTTAAATGCAAATAACTGGAGTGCTATCTATTGACTTAAGATTTTTAATTTATTTTTCAAGTTATAATTGTACTGGTTAACAAACTGAGTGACTTAAGTATAACACTCACTTCCAATATTCATTATGTATTTTATTTTTAATAATAATTATAATTATATAGTATATATACTATATATGCGATACAAATTAAGTTACGTTAGTTTATAATATATCCAAATGGTTATTAATGTGAACATTTGCAATATAAATGCAATTAGCAAAAGGCGTTTATAACGTAGTACCTCTGTAAAGAATTGTTTGATTTTTTATATCAAATTTAAGAATCTAAATTTATCATTATGTTGCAACGCATGGTAGTGTAACTCATACAAAATAATATTTGATTTTTTTATTATCTTGTTATTAACATGAATTTCAGTTTCAGCTTATTTTATTTCCATTTCTAATTTCAATTACTTGTCAAAAGTATCAAAATGTGAAGAATGTAAATGGTAGCATGTTGCCTCAGTATCACAAAATTTGTTTTCTCTATGTTGAAAATCATACTTATTAGTCCAAAGGGACT